CCCAGCTGGCATGGAACTTGCTATGTAGACCAGGCTGGCCTCCATCTCACAAAGATCCACCTGCCTCTACCTCTGAGTGCTGGGATTAAAGGCATATATATATTTTAAACAGCATTGCCATATGGAAGATGAGAAAGAGGAAAACAAGTTAAAAGATACAGGGGGCATCAGAGTAGCATATCAGTAACTTGGTCCAAGCAGCCCAGGCAACTAGGACTCACACTCAACAGGTCAAGGAAATAGATCCAGGCCACAGGCCTGATAACCCAGCAGAAAGAGCGTTCGATTATTACTCAATGCACAAGTTACTTGGTGGCCCCTGGCCTGAGCCTAGAAAGAAGGAAAGTGGACACATCTTCTAAGAAAGGAATTCAAAAAAAAAACAAAGAAAAGTGCTCAGCACTGAGAGCTAAAAACTGTGTACATTTACTGTACATTTAAATTCTACAATCTACAATTTCCGTCTAACTGCCAAAATTATATTCTGAGAAAAAGTAAAGGATACCTTTAAAGATTATGAAAAGTTAAGAACATTTGTTATGCTAAAATTACAGTACTCAACAAACTAGTTAATAGCCCACAAACTTTCCAATAAGTTACAGAGCTCTCAGTCTGTCAATAAGTTCCTCTCAAATGAAATAAAAAGTAATAAAGTAGTTATGACTTTCAAAATAACTTTCCTTGAAACTAATTTAGATAAATTTCTAATGAAAAAGAAATTAAATACTTCATTCAGGTACACTTTAACATAAATATGTTCTGATACCTATTCCCAGTAAATTCCAACTATATGACTCCCTGTCAATCAACTCAAGAATTTTCAAATAATGTACAGATGTTCTCTGTCAGTCATAAAGTGAACAAAATTGATGTTACAGTTTATTTTATTAAAGATGCTGAAACACAGCACATCTCAACAAAGACACAGGGTACAGAGGAGACACCTGTTTTCTTTCATTTTGCAACCAACTGGGTGCCTTCTGGTATTAAATTGAAAGTATTAAACTACAGGCATCTAATGTGAAAAATCATACACATACAGTGTTTCCTTATATAAGCGTATGAGTTCAGGTCTTCCTACTTTCAAAACTACAGGTTTTTAGCCCTAAGTCCTACCATATAATCTACTCAAGATCACCCTGAAGGCCACTAGACCTCTGACAACAGTACATTTCAGTATTGCTAAGGAAATAAAATTTGAATGTTCCTATCACAAAAAACTAAAATTTGAGGTAATGAATAGGTTAACTGGTCTGATTTAATCATCCCACGATATATTTAAAAATTACTTTCTACTCTTTTAAATATATAGAAATGTTAACATGGAAAAGTATACAACAACCTAGAAACTAAATAAATTATTTTTTAAAAAGGAACAAACTTGTGCTCTTCAAAGTGGGAATAAAGGGCAGCATTACGAGATGAAAGGAATGGGAGAGTGGCAGAGTTAGTCAGGACAGAGGAAACTGCTGCTAAAGACCAGAGAGGGGCTGGGGTCACCATCGAACAGCCCAGCCACAGCTCTCACTTCATTAAATCACATGCTAAAAAACCCAACACAATCCGGCAGTTTTCCTGGGGTAGCAAAGGTGAGATCTTGTTGGGGGTGTAGGAATGTATCTGTAATATATATTCACCCATTTACAGAGAAGACAAGCTTCACTTATTACACACATCACTCATATGTAAACAATGCACACTTCTTAAACAATGTGCTATCTACAATAAAGCAATAATTAATCTAAATTGTCATTCAGATCTTTCCAGTTCAGGTCTGATAAAACCTCATCCACATTATATCTATTAATATGAAAGTTCATAGAAAACACTTTCTGCTAACTGTAAAAAGTCCAAATAAGGATTTCTTACAGACATTTTCTATAGCCAATTCTTGTCATGTAAGACATTTACTTTAGCATGGCTAAAATAGAATTTTTAATTAATGGAAAATATAGTTTCAACAGTAAACCTGCTTCCTCAATTTCCTGCCACCAAATTCAAGTCATTCTTGCTAATGCAATAGACAGTGACCTTTTCAAAGTCAATCCTTGCAAAGTCTTGATTATATGATGTTCTATTTTATCATCAAACTCTCCATCTTTCCCATCAATTGTCAAATATTAGAGTTTCTCCTTAATTCCACATGTCTCCACAAAATTTCCTCATTTTATATGTATGCTTCAGCCAACTCCCTCTAAATCTATCCCCCAAAGGCCAGCTACGGCTTTTTTTTTTTTTTTTCAATTTTATGTGGATGAATGTTTTACTTGCATGTATTTAAGTGCATCACCTATATGTGATGCCCACATAGGCCAGAAGAGGGCATTAGATTCCCTGGAACTGGAGTGTGCTGGATAGCTTTAGCTATCAACTTGGCATACCTGGGTAGAAGGAATCTCAATTGGTGATTTCCTCCATTGAACTGGCCTGTGGCCATGTCTGTGGGGCATTTTCTTGACTATTGAGTGATGTGAGAGGAACCAGCTTACTGTGGGTGGTACCACCCCTGGGCTGGCGGCCCTATATTGTTTAAGAAATCAGGCTGAGCATGCACCAAGGTAGCAAGCCAGTAAGCAGCATTCCTCCACGTCCTGTGCTTCAGTTTCTGTCTCCAGGTTCTTGCCCAGAGTTCCTAACTTGGGCTCCCTCAGTGATGAACTGTGACCCAGAGATGTAAGTCAAATAAACCCTTTCCTCCCCAAGATGGTTTTGGTCAGAGTGTTTAGTCACAGCAATAGTGAAGCTAATTAGAACATGGAATTGGGCTCCCTCAGTGATGAACTGTGACCCAGAGATGTAAGTCAAATAAACCTTTCCTCCCCAAGATGGTTTTGGTCAGAGTGTTTAGTCACAGCAGTAGTGAAGCTAATTAGAACATGGAGTTACAGATGGTTATTAGCTCAGTGCTGGGAATCAAATCCAGGTCCTTTGCAAGAGCATCCAGTGCTCTTAACCACTGAACCATCTCTCTAGCCCCTGACTATGATTTCTGTTTTTGCTATAAATCCAACAGTTTTGGGGTTTTTTTGTCCTTACTTTGCTTAGAATATCTTCAACAATTTGACTCATAGCACAGGAATTTCTTATCCACAACTCTTTTATTTTGGCCTAACTAGCTCCTGTTCTCCTTCAGAAGCCCCCCAAAGAAACTCCGTGAGTCAGATCTCAGTGCTTCCACTTGTACATTCAACTGCCTTCTCTCTCGGGTCCAGTTCTCTTTGTATCTACTCCAGGCAAACCTGTCTTGATAATATTCCATGTAACACCAAGGATTTGTACTGACTACACTGTGACCAGTTCACCACTATCCCATCACTTTCAAAGCAAAGTACCTAGTATAAATATTCTGAAAATTCATAACTTCCTGAATAATTTCACCCAAAAAACAAGCTACGACCAATTTAACAAATGTGCCACAAAGAGCTAAACAGATGCTGTGTTTTTTCAAGACTCAGACATGTCAGAAATTTCCAAGTACCTGTACAAGGTTCTGTGTTCAATTCCCAGCACTACAAGGAAAACAACAAAAACAAATAAATGAAAAAAGGAGGGAAGGAAAGAAATGGGGGAGAAGAGAGGAAGGAGAGAAGGCAGGAGGGAGGGACTTCTGAGTATACTCAAGATACTAGAGCCAATTCTCTATTCACTTGGCTAGCCTAGTTAAGTGTAAATGTTACCAAGTTTTTAATAGTGACAGTTAATCACTTTCAAAACGGACAAAACTAAGATACTACTAACTGGTCCTATACAACTATGCATACATATATCCTAATCAAAAAGTGCGTTATTTCAAGTTATATGATCCTAAAGAAAAAAATATAATAAATACTCTAAGAGGGTATCTGGGAGGAAAATAATCTAGCTATTCAGCCTAATGTCAGAAAGATGTCTATTATATGAATACAGTAAAAGAAAAAAAATTCAACTTGTATTAATCATTGCTACATTACAATTCTTTTATTTTTCAGACACCAGCAATCAGCATCAGCATCATTAGTGAGTCATCTCACTAACTGCCATTCATACAAGGGAGACACATCCTGGGGTAGGGATGGTTTAGTTTAAAACTGGATTTGCAGGGGTTAGAGAGGTGGTTCAGTGGCTAAGAGCATGTGCTGCTCTTGCAGAGAACCAGGTTCAGTTCCCAGAATGCACATGGCAGCTAGCAACTGTCCATATCTCCACTTCAAGAGGATCCAACACCCTCTTCTGACCTCTGTGGGCACTGTATTACGTGGGTGCACTTACATACATGCAGGCAATACACATAAAATAAAAATAATATTTTCTTTTAAAAAACTGGATTTTCTTGACCAAGCATACTGCTTTAGATTGTATGTTTATTTTGGATGTTTTGGGGAGAATGATGGGACCGAGGGATTAGAGCTTTCCTAGTACTGTCACAAGTAATATCAACCCTTCATTTTAAGCAAATCAAACAAAAAGAGCTGAATAAATTACAAGTAATAAAAAAAGATGTAGCAGCCATTTGGCATTCTATATATTATAATCATACACTTTGGACAAAAGATACAACACACTGAAAAGATGTGTATCACAAAGATGATTATTATATAAACTGAAATCACAGTTACATTTTCCAAAAGAATCTTCATAATGAGGCAAACATTTGAACCATCTGGATCTTAAAAACAAGCTACAATAATAATACTATAATGGGTAAAGCTTAGAGGAAGAACTTCCAAGAGATGTAACGGAAAAGGAAGCAGATTTATTAATGTCTGCTAATGTACAAAAACGACATCGCTCAGACTGAAAAGAATTTTCAAAGATTTTCAACAAGGTGACAAGAGGCACCTGGTATTTCATACTTAAACAACTATATAGTTATTTTATTGTACTGTTCATTTATGAACATGAATGTTAAACTAGAACACAGCACTTTATATTAACTTTTAATATCTGTTAACATCGTATATAATACAATGCCTAAATTAAAAATACAACAGAATGAGCTTGCAGTTCACACATTGCCCTACCTTATGCAACTGTAATGTTTGAAAGTGCTGGCAGCTTTCTGGCATTCCAGGCACAACTGAATAGCTCCTGGATAGTCCTCCTCCTTAAGCCAGAAAAAGATGCCATCAGACAAAAACATCTTTCTTAAGAGTCCTGATAACACACCTGTTTATACTCTAACAAAAGTTACAGAATAAAAACTGATTCCTCCTAAGTATCAGAATATTAATGATTGATAAGTAACAAAATATAAAGATAGCATTAACCCCAGGCCTAAAATATATATAGAGAAAAGATATTAAGCTACTTTGTTCCTTCAAATATATACCAACTTCCCACTGAGAACATGACTTATGGATAAAGTCCATGTGGAATTAGAAGCTGTTTCAAAGGGAAGGTTTTTCTTCAGTTCTTAAGGTATCTTTTTTCAGTAATATTTCCATAAAATGCACCAAAACAGTCTGCATTCTATTTGTAAATAAGCTTTAATAGTTTTGCCACCAAGTAATCAACAAACATTTCTGAATAAATTAAGAAAAAAAGTTAATTAGTAACTCCATGGTTTAGAACTAAACAGTGCCCAAAGTCCCACCAGCCAGAGGCTTGGTGGCCAGCTTGTCACGCAAATGGAAAGCAGTGCAGCCTTCAGAATGTGGGGCCTAGTGGGAGGAAGCAAGTCACTGAGTGTGCCCCTGAGGAACACACTGGATACTCATTCCTTCCTCCTTCCCTCCCCTCCCTTCTCCCCTTCCTACCACGAGGTGAGTGGTTTTTATCTGCTAGGCTCAGACACAACAGAGCCAGGACTGAAGACTACACCTTGAGGGGACTCCTCCATGAAAGGACTCATACACAAAGGGAATTCTTCTATGCTATTCAGCTATTTTCCTAGGTATTTGTTGTAGTCACATAAAAGTAATACAATAACTTAAGAATATTTTGTTACCTAGAAAATAAACTAGCAACAGTAATTTAATAGTAAATGGGTTATTTTATGCAGATCTCTCAAACCCTCGTGTAGAAATAATTTAGAAGATAATTACATAGAAAACCACAAAATATTTCCCTATGCTTATGTATAAATTTATCAGATGAAATTAAACACTGAGAACACTGAGAAAATCACAAAGTACTCACTCAAAAGAGAGCAAGTAAAAGTTCCCTACAATATTTAATATTCCATTACGCTTTAGTAAAGCTGATTATCAGAGAACAAACAACAGATCGCTCACTCAAAAAACCAATTAATACATGATACCAAATATAACAAAAATACTATACAGTCCATAAATCACTACTATGTGTTAAATACAAAAGATAATTTGATTCCAGTGCAATCAAAAGCCTAAAGTCAGCATTCCAATAATATGATAAAGCTAACGTTTTCACAAACAATTTTGATTTTCTAAATGAGCTGTGACAGGAAAAGTGCAAGTACCTTTACTGAAAATGTTCCTTATAGCATATACCAATTCAAGAAAAATACAGACATGAATTTTGTCCACTCTGATTTGTCTATATATTAATTTAGCATCAAGAAGTTTCCAAACTGTTAGCTTACCTCCAGCATTTCACTTAAGCGCACATCTGTTCTTTGCTGAAAATAACAAAAACACAAAAATGTTTCAACAACAAAATCAAGTTTTAATTTTTTAAAAACGATTTTTTCATTTTGTGTGTGTGTGTGTGTGTGTGTGTGTGTGTGTGTGTGTGTGTGTGTACGCACATATGTAGGGATGCGTACGTGATACAGTGCCCACAGAAGCCAGAGGCACTGAATCCCTCTGGAGTTACAGGCTTATGAGCTGCCTGGCATGGGTGTTGGGAACTCGACTCTTGGGAACTATGCATTCTTAACCACTAAGCCATCTCTCAAACCCTTAAGTTTAAATTTTTCAAGGTGACTCATACATACCAATGTTTTTATAGTTCTCAGTGACTTCAGAAGTCCCATCAGCAACTGACGCTTCCTTTGATTTGCCAGAAGGCCTAAACTAGCTTGAGTAAAACCTTCCTTCGCAACATTCAAGTGTCTGAAAGAGTGAACAGTAACAGTGAGAACTTTCTATTACATGCATACTGTCCACTCAGAACAATTAGACAATTAGTGAGGTAGAGTGATAGAACACTACTAAAATGGAGAGTGAAACAACTATCTGAAAATTTCGTCACTGGCTCAGTCTAGACCAGTATTATTCACACATGGTGGGTGGACTCGGCTAACACATCAATACCGGGGACCCATGATAAGCAGAATACAGAAACTGAGAAGAGTCATCTCAAAACTTTACAAGTTGACCAAATACTCTTATTATTTGTAAATATAATAATAATAAAACTGGTACTCCATTATATGCTTTTTATTGTTTTATTTTTTTAATATATTTATTATTTTTATTTTATGTATATGAGCATATTGCCTGCATGTATGTAAGTGCATCTGTGTCATGCAATGCCCACAGGGGTCAAAAGAGAGCATCAGATCCCCTGGAACTGGAGTTATAAATGATTGTTAGCCAACATGTGGGTGTTGAGATTCAAACCTGGGTCCTCTGCAAGAGCAGCCAGTGCTCTTAACTGCTGAGCCATCTCTCTAGCCCCTCTTTTGTTTTCTTAATCTGTTTCTATTATATTTTATTCAAATAGCCTCCAACAGGGTAGAGGAAAAAAAAAATCCCCATTGGTTCTTTACTACAAATAATGAAGGAAGCACCAATCTCATCAATTTTTTAGCCTATAAATAGATCTGTGGGTATCTGCTATGTACCTTCCTAGTAGAGTTTACATTATATGTTTGTTTACTACAAGGTCTTCTATAAATTATAGACATAGTTTCAAAAAATCAAGTATCAGTGATATATTTCAGTTATTCCTGAAATAATTTTGAGCTTAGAGGACAAACTGGCATTAAAAGCAATACCTCCTCCCATTTGTGCAGATAACAGCAGCTAACTGAAGACCTGTCTGTAATGATGTCACTCTCTCAAGCTCCTGTAGAAAGAGCAGAGATGGGTTACTATGTGAAGCATTTTCTTTTCCTTATTCATATGGCACTCTAACAAAAGCTCCAGTCATTTTCAAAGAAAAGCCTGCTGGGAAAATGAACTAGCAACTAAAATACTTGAAAACTGTTCATCTAGTTTATGAAAAGTCATTTAAAACGACTACTTCCAGTTGATTTTCACAATGAGAGATGACAAAATATTTAGTCAGTACTGCTTGTAAAGAAATCTAAACCCAATCTCTTTTAGGAATACATACCAATAATTCATCCATTTTTATATGGTTCTGCCCAACAAAACTTCATAAAGTAATTAAGGATATGAAAGATCTGATTTCTGTTTGCTGAGATGCTTTGACAATGAATGTGTTGATCTGAACACAGGTAGATGTTTCCATGAACTTCTGAAGGCTCTCTTTTCCTTTTCTTTTTTTTTATCGTATGTGTGTAGCATGCACATGGATGGGGGGGATATGTACCTGTGCATGCACGCAAAGGTCAGAGGAGGACACTGGGTATCCTGCTCTAGCCCTTTCCTCCTTACTCTTTTGAGGCAGGGTCTGTCATTGAACCCAGAGACAGACTGGCAGTCAGCAAGCATCAGCAATCCTCCACTCCCCCAGTGCTGGGGTTATAGGCACATACACAAAACACATCCAAACTTTTACATGAGTGTTAGAATCTGAACTTGGGTTCTCACGCTTACGTAAGCAAGCATTCTAACCCACTGAACCAATTCTACAAATCTAAGGCTCTTCTTTTCTGATAAAGACAGAGATTCAGATATAGATTTAGTTCCAATTTTATCATATTTTATTTATTAAATTACTGATCTATGTATTTGTCACAAAGTTCATAAAATTAATTTTCATTGGCTGTGTATATAACTAAAGACAAAGAAGCATATGTTCAATTTGGTAAAATGCTCCAAATAAGAAATTCACACACACACACACACACACACACACACACACAACTTTTACACACACACACACACACACACACACACACACACACACACACAATCACTACACTGCTATAGAACTACAGACAAAATGATAATTATATTTTAAGCTTCAAGTAAGTCACTCACTCAATTTTAAATTTTTACCTCAAAAAACAGAAAAGAGTATCCTACCTTCACATAAGCAGGCTGTTTTTCAAGGATTAAGTCTGCTACTTTTTTAGAGACCTATAAGAACATGCAATTGATAAAAGAAGTAATGAAAAAGTACATACTTTCTACTATAGAAGTACTTAAAATTTTTGGCCAAGAATATTTCATGAGTCTCCCTAATAAACTTCTAGCACACTATTGGAATGCTCAGCCCATACACATTTACCTAGCCTATGGAATTAACATAAATCAGTATAATGATATGGTCTTAGTAGAAAGTTAATAAATGGTCATTATAAAGGTTAATATGAATGTCATCTGATTTAACAAACAGGAAGAAAAGTTTAACCATCTTTAAGAATATGGGATCCAATTTAACAAGATGAGTGAACTTATAAATGCAAAATTGCAACTGACTAAATTTATAGAGACAGTCTATAGAGGCAGAGAACTTGAACTATTTAGGTCCTTTGTACCATATGAGAAGAGGAACATGCAGCTTGTCCCTGCTTTACAAAGCTGAAAACACACGATGTTTCAGTGTGCTTATAAGCTGCATAAGGTTTTGTTCTTCCACTCCATGAATAATGATGATGCACATTGTTAGAATTACAATGATTTTGTAAACAAGGCTCTTATTTCACAATTTTAGGGGCCTTGCCCACTACACATTTATTACATCTAGCACTAAGCATAGCAAAGGCAGACGCTTAGTGAGGAGCACATTTTGCTCGCTTCCCCAGGCCAAATGAAAACAAAACCTAAACACCTATTAAACACCTATAACAACTCCTTTACGTTTTCTTAATCTGCATAAGCATTGTTAAAATTATGTGAACTTTTTAAAAAGAAATTACATGAATTATTTTCTATACACACTGATTGCTTTCATCTAGAAAGGATTCATTAAAGTTAAGAAAGACAAACTTTAAACAGCTTTAGAACAGTTAGTGAAGAAACATCAATGTTGATACTTAATTTCATCTTAAGAATTCCAAAGATTCTGCAAGATTAACAGCATATAGATATAATCTCTTTAAGAAGATGTTAAGTAGGAGCAAGAAAAAAAAATGAAACCAGCTAACTTTAGCTCTATATCATAAATTTTAGCATGTAGAAATTTGTGTAGATGTACAGAAAAATCCATAAAATGTTATTCAAGTGGTGTATAAAAACTGATAGTGTGGTTATTACTAGTCTGCACTGTACCACTGAATTCCTCCAGAATGACTCCTTTTCCAGAAAAGCAATCTTATAATAATTCACACATGGTCCCACTGTTATGTTGCAACGCTAAGATTCAAATCTACATTTATCAAATTCTAAAACCTATGCTACATGGCCCTTGTCATGGGGGCATTCTTTAAAGATTATCATCATATAAAGTACACATATAAAGGAGTATTTTTTCAAACATGTTGAAGCCAAGAAAGGGCAAAAGATGTTACCATCCACTGCAATCCAATTCTCCAATAGCACAACACATTTTTACTCCCCAGTTCTCTATAACTCCAATCCCTTCTCCACCCCACACTGCTACCTGACCCCCAACAAAGACCCCAAGCACTCCTAGACCTCTGGGTTTAAACAGAAAAGAGAAGCATTTATTTCCTCAATTTGCAGAAGTGTTCATAACAATCATATGTTAAATAAACAGATTACTACTGCTCCTGTAGCTTACAAAATTTAACAAGATCATGTTACCGTTAATTAATATTCCATGGTGAATTTCATAAAATTAAGTTCAGCCTAACAAAAAGGAAATACAGAACTGCAGAATTTTATAGCATTAAAGGAAATATGTGCCTAATCTATCATTTTTTAAGTAAAACAAAAGTCAATGAAGTTAAGCAACTTATCCATTGTCATAATTAAATGACAACAAAGAATCTTAGTTCTACATTCTCTTTAAATCCATTTCAACTATAAGTAGGACCTTTCCTGTAAGATTAACCACTATTCCACTACAAAATGATGGGTAGGGAAGTCATACACACATGACAGGTACCTAAAGGTGCCTACTAATCTGAAAATAAGCTCTGAACTCCTTGATCACATCTAGGAGTCCAGAAGCAAATCTATCAAAGTAACAGAAAGAAAACTGTACTGACAGTAAAACTAATATAAACATACCATCTGTGTCAGTCTTGTTAAATAGGATGTTTACATATTAATATACAATTAACATATATAGTAATAGTTACATAGCTGCAAACATTACATCTCTGTTTTCACGTATAATTTTACCAAAAGAAAATGTTTTTACTTACTGCAGCTTGCTGTTGTTTTAATCTGTCTCTGTATTCCTCTAATTCTTGTAAATTGAGAATAGGTGGAAGCTTCTATATTAAAAAAACATAAATGAAGAATAAAAAGTGAACCGCTTAATTTGTGTCATTTACCAGAACACCTCTAACTAGAGAACTACCATCTATGTTTCAACAGTGTTACATTCCACTGCCCTCCAATGTCCCTGCACAACCTCAATCACTGGACTCCAATCACAAAAGCCTATTCTATTCACAGAACACTCTGGTTCCAGCCTTGATTCCTGCTCTGACATCTTGGAAACCCAAGCCCACTGGAGCACCAGGCCTCTCAGCAGGGAGAGTGTTTAAATGATTTGCGTCAGGGAAATATACAAAAAGTCAAACACTAATCCCCTATTCCACCTGCCATTCCTGTGTATAAGAGAACTCCACACAGACTTTCCGCCATGGAATATTATGACTAGTAACTAAATACTACAGTAACAGAAACTGAGCAACATTCTAGACTATGTCAGCTTGCAACTGTGAACATACAGGGAAGGAGACTCCAAGTATAAAACACATCTTACTACTCTGACTGTTTTTAGGAACTTCTTACAAAATTATGCTTCAGCATTATAAACATTGTTGTACAGGGAGTTTTTAGCATAATATACATTCATGGTTAAAACTCCAAGTATAAAACACATCTTACTACTCTGACTGTTTTTAGGAACTTCTTATAAAATTATGCTGTCAGCATTATAAACATTGTTGTACAGGGAGTATTTAGCATAATATACATTCATGGTTAAATCATTCAGAGCCCTAGCCAGGCCTGGAGGGCATGCAGGCTATAAGGGAGGCTGAGGTAGGAGTCCACTTGAGCCCAAGACTTTGGACAGGCTTGTACAGCCATAGTCAGACCCCCATCTACAAAGAATCCTACAGAGCTTTGCTAATCTCATATTTTTAATTTTTCACATTAGCCTTTTCTAAACATGGACAGGCAACATAAAGCAGGACCAGAAGCAGCACACTAACACAACCCACAGTCCAGAAATGTTTCCTCAGCAAATATTCCAAAGATGTACTTAATATCACATTTTTAAATAATCTGATCTTTACACAAGGCTGACAGCTCATTTAGTCATATTATGACGAGCACAGACCTGTAAGGGTTATTAAAAAATATTATGAGTCCCCTCCAAAATTCAAGTCTCACAAATTCATTCACTAAAAAATAGGCTTTGAATATGTTTTAATGAAAGTTGGTTTTGTTTTGGTTTTTTTTTTACCTCCAGCTCATATTTAACAATATCAAATGAATCTGCAGAAAAATATACTTGTTCAATACTATTAATTAGCTCTTGTTCAGCTTGAGGGTCACTTGGTTGTTCTCGAAGTTCCCTGAATTCCTCCTTTAAAGAAAAAAGAAAAGTCATAATTATACTGTGTAGCTGTTAAAATTCCATCTGATTGAAACCAATGATCTTGTATCTACACCCCCATACCTTCCGAGAACCATTCTGACCAAGAACACAAACTAATAAGAAACCAGGAAAGTTTGTAGAAAACGAAAATATTGCCAAACACTATGAAACTGCTCTCCTACTTGGGAATAAAAAAATACACTTTAAGAAATTCAGATTGTCACATCCCGTCAGCCTCTCTCCTGGGTAAGTCCATCGCGCCCTCCGCACCTGGACTCCCCCAGCCTCATTCTCCCTCCCGTCTCCCCAGCCCGTCTCTCCTCCTTGTCTGGGTCCTGTCCCATTCCTTGTCTTGGCACCCCAGACACTGTTTCCTGATCCTTTGCTTCCAGACCAACCCAGTTCCAGCTCCCAGTCCCCAGGAGCCCTCTGGGCCTGGTTCTGCCCTCACCTCCCTCTTCTTCCCTAGACTGCACAACCCACCAGCCTCTCTCCAGGGAGACCTCTGGACCTGGTCCCACCCTCACCTCCCTCTGCTTCCCTGTGCTGCACAACCCACCAGCCTCTTTCCTGGACACCAGGGCTGACCTCTAGGGTTCCTGATCCTTTGCATCCAGACCAACCCAGTTCCTCCCTGCAGTCCCCAGGAGCCATGGGGCCTCTTCCCACCCTCATCTCCCTTTGTATCTATGGAAGGCATGGCCACCAACTGCCCAACACCAGCAACTTTCCTGGGCCCTGCTCCCAGGCCATTCCAACCCCCAAATTCCTAAGGACAACATCTTTCCTGGAGGGATCCAGACCTTAGGAGAAAGCCTGAGAGCACCTGATCCTCATCTGACTTGGGCGTCTGTGGGAACTCCTGAAGACAAAAACAATCTGGCCACTCCAATATAAAATCAAAAGAGAGAACCTGTAGCCTAGACCAACCAGCTTTTCATGCCCAACAAGTAAACCACAAAGTCACATAAAGTTTACAAAAAGAAGCAGACCTAAACTTGAAGGCCTGAGTCTCACACAAGAATCAGAAACTACAAAAGAAATTCATATGTCAAAATCACAGAGAAAAAATAATAACATGAAAAAACAAAATAACATATCCCCAAAAATACCTATAGTTCTAAAGGAGTACAATGAGAACACACTAGCAATAATACAGGACATAGTAACATATCCCTACCAAATACCAATAGTCCTCTAGAGGATTACAATGAGAAGCCCCTAGAGATAATGCAGGACATGGAACTCAAAAGAAAAATTGTAAACATGATAAAAGAATTCAGAGAATTTAAAGAACACACAAACAAAGAAATCAAAGAACTGAAGGAGGATAGAGATAAACTTTTGAATGAATTCAGAAAAGAGCGAGAGATATTGAAGCATACTCAGACTGAAATAAAGAAGGAAGTGAAACACTCAGTAAGCCAATTAGAAACAACAGGAGAGAGCCTCACCAATAGGATGAATAAAACAGAAAATAGAATGTCAAGACTGGAAGATAAAGTGGACAAACTAGACCACTCAAGCAAAGGTTATGAAAAATTTAAGAAAACACAAGAATGGAATTGTGTGACACCATAAAAAGACCAAACTTACAAATCATAGGCACACAGGAAGGAGAAGAATCGAAAGCTAATGGCATGGACCAGATCCTCAACAGAATCGGAGATGAAAATTTCCCAAAATTAAAGAAAGACATTCCCATACAAATACAAGAACAGTACAGAACACCAAACAGACAGGACCAGAAAAGAAACTCTCCACGGCACATCATAGTAAAAACACTAAACATACAGACCAAAGAGACAACACTGGAAGCTGAAAAACAGAAAAAAAGTCACATATAAAGGAAAACCCATTAGGATTACAGCTGACTATGCACTACAGCTGACTAGGATTACAGTGCAAACTATGAAAGCCAGAAGAGCCTGAACCAAAGTACTCCCAGTTTTAAATGACCACAGATGCCAACCCAGATTACTATACCAAAATAGACAGCCAAAATGTCTATTATAGTCGAAAGGGAAAGAAAAATCTTCCATGACATAAACAGGCTGAAGGAATTCATGTCCACAAAACCAGCCCTTCAGAGAGTTCTGGAAACAATACAAAGAGCTGAAGAAAGGAATTGACTATACCGAAGGGATTGGATATAACTGTGAAAAAGTACAGCTATATCAAGAATATGAACAGAAATAGAAATGGCAGGATTCAATACACATCTTTCATTAATAACTTTAAATATTAATGGACTGAACTTCCCAGTCAAAAGACACAAACTAGGTGAATGGATTAAGAAACAAAACCCATCTTTTTGTTGTCTGCAAGAAACTCATCTCACCTTCAAGGACAGGCACTATCTTAAGGTGAAAGGATGGAAAAAATATACCAAGCAAATGGTACTAAGAAAAAGAAGGCATTGCAATTCTAATCTCTGACAAAATAGACTTTAAACTAAAACTAATCAGAAGAGAAAAAGAGGGCCACTTCATTCTTACCAAAGAAACAATAAACCAAGAAGATATTACAATCATGAACATATATTCATCAAACTCTGGTGCACCCAATTTCATAAAAACAATACTAGAGGATTTTAAGACCCAGATTAATCCAATTCATTAATAGTGGGGACTTCAATGCCTCACTGTCGCCATTAGATAGGTCAACAGGGCAGAGGAGTTAACAGAGAGACATCTGAATTAAACAATACCATATATCAAATGGACCTAACAGACATCTACCAAGTATTCCACCCAAGCACCAAAGAACATACTTTCTATTCAGCGCCCCATGGAACCTTCTCCAAAATCAACCATATACTGGGGCACAAAACAAACCTCAACAAATACAAAAAGATCGAAATAATTCCATCACAATGCAATAAAGCTAACAATCAACAGCAAAAGAAGCCCTAGTTACCATATGAACACATGGAGATTAAACAACACACTCCTGAATGATGAATGGGTCAAAAGAGAAATCAAGAAAGAAATAAAAGTATTCCTGAAACTAAATGAAAAGGACAACACAACACAACAAAACCTCTGGGACATGCTAAAAGCTGTCCTTAGAGCAAAGTTTATAGCTCTAAGTGCATACATTAAAAAATTGGAAAGAACACAAACGAATGACTTACGATTGCAACCCAAGACACTTGAAAAGCACAACAAATAAAACCCAAACCCAGCAGACAAGAAGAAGTAACAAAAATCAGAGCAGAAATTAATGAAATCGAAACAAAGAAAAAATACAAAGAAT